ATGTGTCCCGTTACTTCTGGCTCTGCTTGGCCAAAGATTCCAGCTCCGTCTTTGGAAAGACGAGCTAAAAGTGGCTTTGGACAACCAGTTATCTAAAGCAACAGTTACAGTATAATTCAGAACAGTGAAGATTAAGCCTTTTATTGGCAGTTGTTGCTTGTAAGCTGTTGTCTCCAGACCTATGCCCGATAGGCCAGTCTCATAATTACAGCCATACTGGTCAGAGGATACTTGTTTTTAATGTCATTTACAGTTTCACATAAATATTAAATATTTAATATGTAATATAAGTTTTTGCAGAACAACAATTTTTTTGTGGAGAATTTCTTTTAAGAATGAATAATGGTTGATCATACCCTTAAAGGTCCCATATTTTATACTTTCTCTGTGTTTCATTTTGAGTTTTGATCCATAAGAACATATACTTCATATTTTTCATGGCACTGTAGTATAATTGTCAGTTATTTGATTAATGTGGTTCTGGCTCTTGGCTGATTTTATCAGTTAAATCCTCCCCTGACATGAATTGGATGAATTTTCTCAGATGTGAATTGGGTGTCGGGGTCAGGTGGTTTTAGTGACCTGTACAAGTTAAGAATTTCCATCTGCACCTGCAGCTGCTGCAGGATCTGTTAAATCCTCCATCCTATTTAAAGCTGATAGTATACGGGCTCCAGTTTGATTATCAGCAGACTAGATCTTTATTTTGATTCCTGAACATATATCTGTGTCCCTCTTCCATACTGCACTGCAACAGGTGTGTGTGTGTGTGTGTGCGTGTGTTATTGTAACTGGAAGAAAACCGGTTTTGGCTTTAGACCTTCAGGACAAGGACATTGTTGTGTAGTGAGGTCACTTTTCTGTGAAAGTCCTGTTTTAAAATGAAAACCTGTCAAACTCTGCTGCTTGTCACAGGATTAATGTCAGTTCCCAGTTTAAAAAGTGCTCACACATAGATTACATTTTGTGAGCACGCTCCCTCCAAACATGAATAAACAAGATACATCAAGTGGCCGTGGTGTAAACATGATAATCTGCTTTGATTAACTACTTTGGTTCAGTTATAAAAAAATAACCCACGCAGTCATTCATTGTTGGAGTCTCTGGCTCCTCATGTCCACATGTAGGGTGTGGGTGAGCAAAACACGGTTGCTGATTTGTGTGAATTTGAGGGACAAAAGCATCAGCCAAATGAATAAAATACAGAATAAGACCAGACATCTCATTTATTGTGGGGAGAAATTTAGAGAGTATCTTGCCCAATGACACTTTGACATGTGGACTAGAAGAGCCGGGGGATCGAACCACCAACCCTCTGATTAGTGGACGCCCTGCTGTACCTCCTGAAGTCACAGCAGCAGCAAAAACTACACCTGTATTTTAGCTGCAATGCAGGTTTCTGTACTCGTATCTGTGTCTTTATCTCTGCTGTCAACACCTCCTGAGGGCTTTTTTTTATGCTCGTCTGCCAACCGGATGTCTGTCAGGCTGTGTGTGTGTGTGTGTGTGTGTGCAGGTTATCGAACACACACACATCTTAATGTGCTCAAAGTTACAGTCCAGCCCTCATTGTCTTTCCATCTTAGCCTCGTTATTCCTCCACTTCCTGCTTTGGCACGTCACTGTCAGAGAAAAATCCAAACGTCTGCTCTCAGCTTTAAATTCACCCTAAACATCTAAAATTGACCCCAAACCATCGACTTCAGTTGTCACTGAGACACAGCGAGTCTGGATCCTTCACCTAGACCCCCACTAACAACACCAACATGGAGGCCCACCACAGAACAAAGGCCTCCTGTCATCAGTGTTGACACCGTCTGACAGTGATGATGTTGCCGATGAAGGTAAAAATAACAGAGGGACAGTTGAGTCAATCAGTTTGAGGCCCCTAGGGGCCCCCGAGAGGTGCTTTACAGCTATCCACCACCAGCTCTACCTGACACCTAGAGGGGGGAGGGGTCTCTTAATAGTCACACCCTCAGAGCTCAGAGAAAGGAAAGTCTTCCAGGATGTTTTCAAAGAGAGAACTAGAATTACCACCTCTTGGTTTTTTGCCTCGGCCAACCAGCCAAGCTGCAGGAAACAGGGACACAACCTCTGATTGACCAGTAAATTAATTCAGGCTACGTCCGCACTACTATGTTTACATTTTAAAACAAAAACGACCTCCGTCCAGATGACCGTTCTGACCTCGTATCAGAAACGGTCTCCGTCCAAACTATCACACCAGAAAACACATATCACAGGACCATTCATCTCCTTTGGGTTTTGGACGTTTAAAGACATCACCATGACCTCCCTTATTGATTAACCAGCTAATCAAGAAAATAATCTGCAGAGTAATCAATACTGTTATGATGCTAAAATCTGGACTAAATTTTGATTTTATTAAGAGCTTTGTCTGATTTGAGTTCGGCTTCATCACCACTGCATACTTGAAAAAACACATTCATGCTCATATTTAAAAAGTCCTGTTTCATCTGCTGGAGGAGGAGGAGGATCAACTATTGCCCAACGTGAGTTCCAGGGAAAGAGGATGAGGAGGTGAATGAAGATTAAAAAGGAGAACAAAGGTGAAAAAAAAGATAAAGACGTAAAGGTGTTTGGGCTTAAATGTCCTGTGACCAGAGCTTCACGAACTGCTTTGAGACTTGTGGTTTCAGATTGACACGGTAGGTCAGGGAGGTCCAGGCATGTCAGTGACTCATGTCTTTGTTTCAGGAGGCAGCTTCCTGTTGTGCTCCATACTGTGTTGAAACCTGACAGGGTTGCATCACTGCCGCCGCTTGGGAAGAATGTGGCGTTCAGGTGTGAAGAGATGCATTCTGCTGCTGCTCGTCATGGTCTGTTACTTAATGCAGCTGCAACGGTCGCTGTTAGGGAAGTCTGAGCGGACTCTGAAGTCTTCATGAGAAAGTGCATTTTGCAATTTCATTTGGAAAGACTTTAGAAATACAAGTTTTGAACTGAAGCCAATTCATTCTCACCTCCAGGCTAAAAGCTTTGTGACCTTACAACGTCAGGTTTTATTCCTTTATCTTGATAGAGTCAAAGGTACCTTTAGTTTTTTTTCCCTTAGTTTGGTTGCTAAGGTCTTTTGTGCAATGGGTTAAATGATTCCTTAAGTATAAGACCAACATGGGGAGAAAACCTTAAATACTTAAGTGAACATTTTAAGGAAACCTTAACTCAAGCTTTAAGGAAAGTCTTAGCTTAAGGTGTTTTGATTTTAGCAGCTCAAAGTTTAAAGAGTGATTGTTTTTCTTTTTACGTCTCAACTTCTGATTTTTGTCAAATAATTCCAACTGGAGTCCGAGTCTGTGGGAAAATCTCCATCTTTTTTAATAGCTGTTCTGTAGCTTTTCACTACATCAAGATGGAGTTTGTCCAGAAATTTGAACTTCTGCAATTCCATGATAACTGAGACAGTTTTCCCAAAAGGGCAAGAATGAGACTTTGAATCTCAAGTATTTGTCTTGTTTTCATCTCATGTCTTAGAGTGAAAACAGTGTTTTTCTGAAGAAAAGACAGAGTAAAGTTCTCAGTAGTATGCTTCAAATAAAATACATCATACAATGGAAATTAATTGGTAGACAGGGATAACAGGCCGATGCTGTTAGACAGGTGGTTTCAGATGCTGTTACACGAACTGAGGACTTGTTTAAAAAGCCTACAATTCCCGCCTTGTGGTTGTTTGCCTCAATCAACCAGTTACAGGAAATATGGCCACAATCTCAGTTACAGCGTTAAAGAAGTGTTTTTACATAACATTGTGATGTCACAGTGAAGTTGACCTATGACCTTTTGGATATAAAACACCATGAATGAGAACGAGAATGGGAAAGGTGGACTGTCGTCGACTCTAAGGTATAAAAAAGACGACTCAAGTTGGAGACTCAGTCAGTGTGACTGAGCTTTTCCCTTGAACTACGATTGAGGAATCCTGATAATCGTCCACTGGGACGACCTGCAAACTTTTTCCTTTTCTTGTTGACATTTCCTTGAAGAAGCGTTTTCAGTGCCGCTGCTCTGTCGAGACGAGAGCTGGATTCTGTTCACAGACATTTTCTACACGACAAACAGAATTTCTGAAGAGGGGAAATTATTGTGCAAACGTGACAGTTAGTTACTGCTGCAGTTGTGCCGAAGGGTGTAGCAGCACTACAGTGTGTGTGTGAGTGTGTGCGTGTGTGTGTGTGTGTGTGTGTGCAAGACTGTGTGTGTACATTAGTTTAACATGTTGCAAGACGCCAAGGCGTGAGAGGAATGAGGAGAATTTCCTAGAAGGTCATGAAGTGGCTAACATGTCTCAGATGCAGACAGACAGAAAACGACAGATATGCTACAGACACACACGCATGCACGGACACACACACGGTATCAGTCCTTTAACATTGAAGCATGAAATGAGGTTAAACAGCAGCAAAGAAATGACCGAAAATTGTAAATCACTGTTGTCTCACTGACAACAGGAAGTTTACAACAGATTCAAACACACTCAAAAACTTGTTTCTGTCCTTGGCCAAAAGTATATGGACACTTTCAGGTCTTGATTTTGGTTAGGTTTTTGTTGTTCCACTGACAGGAAATCTTACTGACAGTTGTGTCTCTTTCCTGTTTCCACATGACAGTTTCCCCATGCACAAAGCCAATGAAATGGTTTCCTAGTGATGTGTGGAGGAACTTGACCTCAACCCCACCCAACACTTTTGGGATAAGCTGGAACGTCGACTGTGAGCCAGTCTTTATCACGGAGGCAGGAAACTACCCCAGAGGGAAGGCCTGGGAATTTCTTCCCCCAAAAACTAAATAATAAAATCCAAAAATAAAAAAACAGGAAGATCACTGCATACCCTGCTGCGGCTTAAAGTATAGTTTCAGCCAAAAACCAGTTTGAAAGTCTACTGCCTTAGTTAGGAGGGATGTTCTGCATTCCAACTCATCTACACGGCCGCAACTGAAGGCCCAGCTCCAAGTATATCAAAACACAGAGTACTTACGGTACTTTCTGTCGGCAGTATATGATTAACCCGATGGCGGCGGCAAGAGCGATGAGGACGGCGATAACGATTCCGGCGATGGCTCCGTCTGACAGACCTTCATCCAACGCTCCCTCCTCTGCAAAAACAACACAAACAACATCATTTAATATGATCGTGTGAGGAATCACTCTAATATAAATTCACTTTAAATTCAAAATCATGATCCATCTAGGTGAATGGGGACGGGGTGGGAGGGTGGGGGTTGGGGGGAGAGAGAGAAATGTACATGAATAGTATATGAACAGGACCCTGTGAACACTGTGTGCAATGTTTGAGGTCGGTTTCATTAAGCTCAGAACAGAAACCACACAGAGGAAATGAAACATGACTCAATCTGATTGAAGGGAGCAGTTTGGTGAGTAATTCTGTGGAAGTGATCTCCAATGCTGATTCTTGGCATACCCACATGACAATCTATATGAGATATCACTATAAAGATTCAAGAGAAACAAACCAGCATGATATAGTCACACTGCTGCTATTCGCTGGTGTGAAAACTGAAACTGAATATTGCAGTTAAAAAGCAGAAACGTTACCAAATGTTTTCTGCCTGGCACATTTTTTTCACAGAGACCCCGTTGCCTTAACCAACAGGGTTCATACTGTTTATGACGGCCCTTGTAGGACATCTCAGACTCAGTGTTAGGCTCAGCTGTGCTTTGACCTGATTGCTAACGTTAGCATTATAACATTAAAGCTGGGACAGGCAGTAATTTTTTGGCATCAGTGGGCAAAAATTCCATCATCACTTCTCAGCAGATTGTGATTCAAGTAGTCTGAGAGATGGGCTCACAGCAGCAGGGTATGCCCGTTTGGTGAGAGCTGCAAGATGGAGGCTGTGTTTTCAAATTCTGACTTTAAGCCCTTTACCACTTTAACATAGGCAAGCTAACAGCTATTGGATGCTAATATAGATGGCTAATATAGATAACCTGGAAATTTGTTAGTATTTTAGCACTTCCTGCTGGAAATGGAAATAGAAAAATCCCAATGGCTTTTTGTCGAGCGAACTAGGGTGATGAGGTGATGATCATCAGGGTTAGCCTACAAAAACACCTCATCCCTGCAGCACTTTATTCAGGATTGTAGCATGTTAACATTAGCAAAAACCTTGAGTACAGAGCCTGATGGAAATCATGCCATTTAGTTTCCTGTGTTTGGCACCAGATACTTTGGTACCATGGCAGATACCATAATGTGATAAACAAATAACAACTAGCGCAGGACACTGCAGCTGAGTCATGAACCGGTCAAGTCTCTTTTAACTGGTGAGATGACGTAAGACAAATAAGTATTTCTGTCATCTGTAGGCAGAGCTCTCTGACTCGGTCCTCTGCAGACTCTACTGTGGAGGAGGCTATATGCATTTAAGTCTACAGCTGTAAATTAGCATGAAGCTGCAGCCCAGTGGTTCCTTTCTAAAGACTAGATCTGCACTGATGTTGAACTGCAGTTGACACAGGTGACGGTGTGTGTATCTCACCTTTGACGGACAGGTTGAAGGTGTGCGTGGTGGTCTTGCCGGTGACAGCGTTGTGCGCCTCACACATGTACGTTCCAGTGTTTTTGTAAATGGCTTTCACAATGGTGTACTGCGCCGTTTTCACGCTGGTCACTGTGCCGTTAAACTTCCAACTGAAGTTGGCGGGTGGGATGGACATAGCGGAGCAGGTGAGCGTCACATGCTCGTTCACCTCTATGGCCCCTTCACCCCTCACCATCACTTGTTCAGGACCATCTGGACATAGAGTGGAAATAAAAGAGGGTTCATTATCTATAAACTGTCAAGACAAACAAATCCACCTCCATAAATGCCTCATAATACAAAAATCTTCAGGTCTTGTAGCAATACAAACACTCACAGTTGACCACCATCTTGTAGGAGGCTGTGTCAGTGCTGACAGGGTTGATGAGCTGACACATGTACTCTCCGTTGTCCTCTTTCTGCAGCAGGCTGATCATCACTGAGCTCATGTCTTCAGAGAACACCAGGCGGGAGCTGGCAATCAGAGGTTTGCCATCTTTCAGCCAGGTCCTGGTCTTCACGGTGCCGGTCTTCGCCTGGCAGCTGATGTTTGCTGTGCTGTTGCCGGCGATGAGGGTCGCAGTCGGACCGGTGATGGTGGTACCTGTAATGGGCTCTGTACACAGTATGGGAACGAGAGATGTTATTTTTATATTCTACTTAATTTGATACTCATCATCATTTTGAGCTTATTTGGCTGCATTTGATTATTTTCAATCAATTAAAATGTATGACGCTGATGAGAAGTGGAGAAATCTAGAGTCAAAGACCGACATTAAAGGAGTAATCCAGTGATTTAATACTGCACCATAAAGTTGGGAGATTCATAAGAGACAGTTTAAAGGTCCCATATTTTACACTTCTCCTGTGTTTCATTTGAAGTGTTGATCCATAAGAAGATATATTTGTGGTTTTAAGAACCAAAAACCATCTCAATGCAGTTTTACATCTCCTCTCTCAGACCTCTCTCTGGGGCTCTGGTAACAACAGGTCGGTGAGAAAACAGTCATCCAATCAGAAGAGAGGCTCAGTCTCCTCTCTTCTGATTGGCTGATTGTTTTCTGAGTGATCAAATAAAAATATAGCAGATTTCAGGTAAACACTTAGAGAAACCAAATGGCTGGATGGTTTGTCCACGTGGGTGGGGCTTGGGGCATGGCGAAGGACGTTGACTGCTTTGTTGTGACATCACAAAATTCCTGACGGCTAGTTTTAAAACTCAGTTTCTGAATACAGGCCGTGTGCATTTCTCTGAGGACTGAGTTCTATGATACTTTCACAGTATTAATGTAGAACCTAGACCTGCTTTATAAGACATGAACAACAGAATTTACAGTAGTCGAGCTTCAAAACAACTGGATCCTACATTTCCCATAATGACAATTATTATTAGTGGGTAGAGCATCTCAGCTGCTTAACTACTTTGTTTCAGCAACACCAGTTAGCTTCATGGTGTTGTGTTTCTAACTACAGTTCATATGGTGCAGGTCAGTGGACTAAACACATACTGTATGAGTCTGAATGCACTGTAGCTCACACCCATCTCCTGCTGTGATGTTGGTCATGTTACACTTTAAAGTTCACTGCCTTTTCCTTTTTCATAATCATAATTATTAACTTTATTTATATGGCACCTTTCATACAGGGGGTGTAGTTCAAAGTGCTTCACAACAAAGTACAACTTCTCCTCCCCCTCACCCTCCCCCTCTCTTATCATTCAGAAAGAAAACAGAAACTCTTCGGGGCAAAATGTAAGACCATCTTCCAACCCAGCAGGTTTCTCTCTCTCTCTCTCTCCACACACACACACACACACACACACACACACACAGAGTTTCTTGGTGACTTACTTTAACCTTAAAACATGTCTTCACCTTAACATTTGAGGATTTACGTCATAGGGACTTGCTTTTTGTCCTCATAAACAGACTTAGGTCCCCATAACATGAGTAATCCCTGGACCACACGCACACACACACACTCACACACACACACACACACACACACATACATGTTCAAGTTGGTCTGCCGCCAACTTGAAAACAACGTCCACCAAAAACAAGAAGCTAAAATTCCTTGGCAGTAATTACAGACAGCACAGTTTCACACTGTCTCAGCACCTCCCAGGTAAAATCTGATGCATGTGCCGTGGGTCGCTGCTGCTGTATGTAGTGGACCTGTCACCAGCAGATTCTATGACTAATGTGAGTCCATTTATCAGTCTCGTGCCTCGGAGGTATGTCACCGAGAAACGGGAAGGTTTCAGTCTGCTTTGTTTCAGTGGGTTTCAGTCAACTTCTGCTTCTCTCTGAACGACGAAACGGTGTTGTTTTATTCAGCCGAGCTGTTAAAATCTAATGTCCCTAAAAAATCTCCAATTCATGTTGCTTTTATAAATAATTTTCTATAGATTGCAGCCATAGAAACTGCTCAGTCATTTTCAGCTAAAATGATTTTCATGTCAGTTTTCTAGTCAATCTTCTTGAATGTTTTTTGTTCGTTTGCTGCATCTCCTTCAGATTTAACTCTTTATGACCCAGTGTTCACACTGATGCTAAAACATTAGATTCTTTTCTGTTGTAGTCATTTTCAGATATAACTGAGGTATCATACTCTGCAGCACTGTACAGCTGAAACCTTAAAAATATGGGGTCTCCAGGGGGGTGGATTAACCCCCCCACCAAGGTCTTGAAATATTATATATAATATTATGCTGAAGCTTTTTGTAAGTTAATTGGCTGGTGATTGTTATTTGTACACAGCAGCTACCAGCTGGCTAACCAAGGTTAGAGATAAGCTGTGGGCAAGTGAGAAAGACCGTGGAGAGACAGAGACAGTGGCCTCTGGTTATGACCTTGAATATTCTCTGCGTGGTATTTTGGTATCCAGCGAACCGTGCACAGATTGGAAGTGAGGAACAAACATTGAAATGAAGCAACGTAAAGTGTATTGTTGGTATTTTGGAGTCAAATGTGTGCTTGGGCTGAGATCAGAGCTCTGACGCAACGTCTCTTTGCTGCTACTTTAATCAACAAGAGCGAACAAATTAATGCTTAAAATGTTAATAAATGATCAAATTCATACACTTTCATATCAGTATTAGAGCTTTTTAAAGCAGGAATGTCTGTAACTCAGTCTGCATTCAATCTATAAATGAATACAAGTGATTGTTCCATTGTCTGTCGCCCACAGCTGCTTTAAGCACCTTCAGTTCATTAACTTCCTGCAGTCTCTGATAGGAGAAGTGCCAAGCTTGGCAACGTTACACACGGCCGGCCGGTGTGTGTACCTTCATTAAATCACATGCAAATGACACCAGGCTGCGACTGAACAAACCACACACACACACACCTCTACACACATCAGGCTGCTCATTTATGACTCAAAATTAAACTTTTGATGATGGCGTCAGATGAAAAGTCAGTTGATCAGCTAATCCTGAGGAGAGTGTGAATCTGAACCAGCTCAAGGCCATTCAACCATATAAACACATTTATGGAGCTGCCGCAAACACTCACCCATCACAGCGAAGGAAACAGCAGGTGAGGAGACGGCGCGCTCGGTCTTGGCGTTTTTAGCCGTGCATGTGTATCCTTCCGTCTGCTTCCCTAACCCGTGCTCCTCGATCTGTTTCAGAGTGAGGACGGGACCCGACACCTCCATCGGCTGCTGGTTGTGGAACCAGGTGAAGGTGGCGGGCGGGCTGGAGCTCGCTGAACAGGACAGGCTGAAGTTGGTGCCGGATTGGATAAACTCGGGAGGACTCGGAGGACTGATGGTGACTGTATCTGGTCCGTCTGTGGAGCAACAACACGTGGAGAGGGGTGAGAGCTCAAATCCAAACAGTTCATCCTCACAGCCAAGGCATTGGCTGGTTTCTGACTTTACTATGCTACAGCTTCTCAGTGGAAGCGTCCAACAAGTTCATTTGGACCTGATCCCAGTTAAGTTCTTTTAGTCCAATCTGATCCTTGTATTTACCTAAAAGCTGATTAAATCTGTATCGGACACATTCAAAATACCAAATCTGACACACCTTAATTTTCATGAGCTTCTTTTGATCCAAACACTGAAGGTCCTGATTCAAAATTAGTTGATGCGAAACACTGTACAACCAGAGTGGAGCTTCTTCCCTCACAAATGATCTTTGACCCTAACCCTAAAGTCTGGAGATAAGGCAGCACTCCAGAGGACAACACAGCTGAGTGTGATTGTGTTCATGTTACTGACACACTTAACATTAAAACACAGAAGAGGACAGTAAAGATAGGGCTGAATTTCCATTGGCTTTATTTGTCCGATACTGATCCATTCAAAATATAACCAGAAGCTCCTTTCATACTGCTTTTTTAAGTAATATCATTCCAAAGTTTCCACTGAAAGAGCACAGTACAAAATATAAAAGTATCGTCTATTTTTTGTGACGACAGGTAAGTAGCCGTTTCAAGCAAGAAAATAAACATCTCAAACCAGTGCAACTATGAAAAATAACGTCAAACAATGGAGATTTGTATCCTCTTCGACAGCTAACTGTGAATTATTGCTACTGATCAAATACTTGGAACACAGTCTCTATTGCAGCATTTTGTTTTCAAATTTGTACTCGATATGCTTATTATGCTTTTTTTTTTTTTTAATAAATTGAACATTTTTTACTTTCTACTACATCATTATTCATATCATCAATGCAGAGCTCGGTGTCAAAAGATAATATTAAAAATAGTAGACAACAAAAAATCTTTTCATTTCATAACAATGGACTATTGGTTTACTATAACTGCTAAAAGCACCATTATTAAGACAGTCAATACAAGCCTGCAGGGTTTTTTTTTTTATTTCTGTGTGGATATTTAAATTATTTAAGTTCCCTAAACATATATTTGGATATTTTACTGGAAAATAGTATTATCATATATATGTTATGAATGTTTTAAAACATGTTTTATGTATTTTTTTGTCCTTTTCTTGTGATTAAAGTCTTTTAAATTCATTTTTAAGAAGCAACATGTTGTAAAAATACATTTCATTGCACATCCTCAGGTTGTAGTGTTCACTGGATTCAAACACGACTTAAATTTTCAGAGACAGCCTGACCAGATTAAACGCTCCTGAGCTGCCGGGGTAAGCTTTTGATTAATTAATAACAGAGTTAACCAGCGGTCAATGTGGTTTCACTGCCTTTCAGGTTAGTCATGGTGAAGGAGTGGAAGCACAAGCCACTATGTACACACTGTGGTTTTAGTCACAGTGCAAAGACTGAGAGGGAGCGCCCTGCAAACACACACCACAGCCACAGTGGATACAGGAGTGTTTCAGGAATCTGAGTCGCCATCGTAGTGGATCCAGAAATATTGTAAAAGGCCTTGAATCAGGACAGATGACCTGCTGAGGTGTGAAGCAGCGACAGTAGCTGACTCATGTCTGACCCGCTTTGTTGTGAAAAGGGCGTGGAGCTCAGTCAGTGAAGTGCAGCATTTAAAGTAACGCAAGACTAAGACTAAGACAGATTAAATAAATCTGTGGGTAAACTTCTACCTGTCAAACCACCATGAGGGTGGATTTATTTAATAAAAGAACTATGTACCAATGTATCAGCCGATATGAGCTTATTGTAGATATGTCCGTATTAGTTTGTGTCTGCTGTAGGACAAAAATGTCAAACTACTCTCTGTAGGTTTGAGGTAATCCAGAGACAATGCCTCCGTTAAATAATTTGTCCACCTGAGAAAATGTATTTTTACACTGTACAACGTAACTCTCTAGTGTGTATCTAACTGCAGTTCTTCTAATGACGATTAATGTCCAACTTTACAGCAGAAATAAACATGTTTACAGCCTGGTAAAAAAAAATGTTTTGGTCTCTGTAGCTAATTTCGTTTTCCTCATGACAACTTGTACCTGGGGTGAATTTTTATATAACTCACCTGTTAACATTTTATTAAGGTTTAATGTTATGCAGAATTGAGGGCGTGGCCACTTAAAGTGACAGGTGGGTGAGTGTATGTTTGACACAACCCAGCATGAACCGAAAGTCTGGGCTCCACACAGGCCCCACCTCCTTGCCCATATTTGGATTAGCTGGGTAGTTAGGCAGTCAGGCACTGCCAAGATGGTGACGGCAGAACAGCTCACTACTCACTTATTACAAATCATGGTGATAAAAAATGTAAAGTGTGTCCAGAGGGTGGTGCGAGATGAATGGTCATGAGGTCATTTAAATGTAAATGGTTCATCCTCTGGGGAGTAGGAATCTGTACCAGTATTTTTTATATCAATCTACAAAACTAGATTTTGACATTTCTTATGTGCAAATGAAGTTTTGGCACCTCTTAAAAAAAAAAAAGGTTAGACTTTCGCCAGAATCTGGGCAACAAACACTTGCAGCCTATGATACATATCAAAATTCACACCTATGGTTTGCTATAAATGCAAACAAATTGGCAGCTCATTTAACTGTTCATTAAGAGTTCCACCGTGCTGTGGGAGTGAAATGATAAATCAGTTGAGTACTCTTTTAGAGAGATCCCAGAGATCACCTGTCAATAAAATAGTGTGGGCATAATGACACAGACTGTGACATTACATAGTCACCGCCCACATAAAGAGTTAACAAGTCATTTTATTAATTAGTGGCTGAGTAATTAGTAAAAAAAAAAAACAACAACTATCTGGATATCCGGTAGCTGATGTTTCCTGGAGGCTATCACCGCTCATGCTCTTCTGTTTAGTCCAAACTTGTCACTTCCTGTGTGGGAGGAGTCACCAGGCAGAAAACTAGCAATGTGGGTGCAGTACTTACAGTAGACAGTGAGGTTGAAGGGTGCACTCATATCTTTCTCCAGCTTGTTAGCAGCTGTGCAGTAGATAGGACCGACCAGATCTGACCTGAGTACACCTGTGATGGTCAGTGTGCTGGACAGTTCCTCCTGTGATACAAACCAAAGGAGGAACTACATCAGTTACTGCATACTTTACGTTAAAAGCACCCAACGAAGTTTTCTGGTAAACCTACACAGTTTATATTCAGTGAACAGCACACAGAGTTTTAAAAATGAGATTTTAAAAAAACTGACATTTTTAATTGTGAGCCGTTTGCCGTCGTCCATGATGTGGGCGGTGCCATTAGTCCAGGTGAATGTGAGGAAGGAGCCTTTAGCGGAGCAGTTCAGGACCACGGTGCTGTTGTGTTCGATCGCCTCGGGCATGTTGGGCACGATGACTACTTCAGACACGGGCTCTGCACAGAGACACAGGGAGGTTGTTGGAAATGAGGAAAAGGTTGTAACAGTTGTATGAATAGAATTGAATGTGGGAGAAAAAAAACATGACTGAGACCAAAGGAGAGGAGATTGTGGCTCTTCCATAGGCATGAAGCTCAATGAATAAATGATGTAAAAAAATAGCATTGGAGGCTTTTTATTTATTGGTTTTTCTAATTTTCCCTTTATTTAAAAGTATATTTTGCTGTATACATTTTCAAAAGCATCAATTCCATCAGTAGAAGAACATGTCAAGAGTCGTTGGAGTAGGTTCCACTTTGCCGTTTTTTTTCTTTTTCTGGCTCACTGTTGAGCTACTGTCAGTGAAACTTATCACTTCCTGTACAGATGTTTCACATTAAAAGTAGAAGCAAGTTAAAAACAGTGTTTTTGTTTTGTGAGAATCTGTGCAGGTTCACGTGTTGTTGTTATTGTTGTTGTTGCTATTGTTGTTGTTTTTTGTTGTTACCCGGCCTTTGTTAGCAACAGGCCTCATGTTCTCATAGACAGTGTTAGATGACTGACAGGTTTCTCTCCTCAAGTCATTAATGGTCAGGAAACTCAAAAGACAAAAGATTAACATCTGTGGGGTGAAAGTATCTGGTTCTTTGATAAAAAGTCGAAGATACAAGAAGCTTGCAGACATAAAAATTGAAGTAGAGAAGTCAAGTACGACTCCCAAGATGCATTTCAGTAAGAAATGTCCAATGGTGAGTTTCCATTAAATGCGCTGCCAAAGATTACACTTTTAGAAAACTGACTACACAATCTGCAGCTGCAATACATTCACTATATTTACTTCCCACCTGCAACAGTAGGCTCATGTGTGTTTTAGCACACGGATCCATTCACCAACCAAATTTAAAATAATCAAAACTTGTGGCCACACCATAGAACTGTAGTAAGTCTAAATGACCCAGAAGACACTGAAAACCAGTTCTTATATGAGATATTTTATTTTTGTGAACTTTGCACTAGCGCAAAATTTTCCACCATTTTGTCAGTAGCTCAGTAGAAAAAGAAAAAATAAACAAAACAGCAAAACTAAATGGATCCACAAACACCAACTAAACTGCACAATTTTGAATACAAATGGCTGTCCAGGTGTTTTACACTGTATTTTTCCATTGAGATTAAAGCAAGTGAAGTTAGTTTTGATGATGAAATCTCATAACAAAGTGAATGGTGGCATGATTAATTGTGAGGGTGGAGGATATAACAACCTGCCTGACGGACTGAGACTGGTTTGTCTTCACACAATGCTAATTGTGCTCTGATATGAACATTTGAATGAGGTGAGTGAAGGCGGCAGATAAATTACAGCGACTAGACCTGCTGGACTCGTTCTCAATAATCCTGGAGCTCCGACTCTAAATGAGCAGTGTGTTTAATGATGATTAGGCAACAGTGTGTGTGTGTGTGTGTGTGTGTGTGTGTGTGTGTGTGTGTGGGAAGAATGTGAAGGAGCGGTAACCAGTTCTGACAGCTCACACAGTTGTTACTTTGTGGAAGTTTTCTAAGATCTGACTGTGAACCTGCAGGAACATCAAGGATCCACTCTGATGCAACAGGAACAAACAGACATGGAGACACTGGTGGTTTCGCTCTGAGTGTTCGCCAAATGTAGTTTTACTGGTCGATCCCTGAGTGGGAATGAATCCACTCCGCTGCCAACCATCCCTTGATAAATAAAGATTCAAACTGACATCATGTAGTTGACACAAGCCAGACTGGAGACGTTTACCTTGTCGAAGATGACTGTGGCTTTTTCAATAAACTGACTGCAGCACCGAGTCAACAGGCTGAGATATTTACTCCAGCAATTAGCCAATTAATCAATGCACTTGTTTTAAAAATCAATTATTTTTCTGACACAGTTCCAGCTTCTTAGATGTCAGGATCTGATGGGCTGATGGGCATTTTTCACTGTTTTCTCAAAAACTTCCACCATTTTATAGATCGATCAATTATTATATTTGCGCAACCAAACTGAAAGATCCATCAGTGATCGCAAGAATGATCAGTTGCAGCCCTGTAACACTGTAAAAAGCAGTTTCCATTATTCAGGTCACTCGGCGTAAAGCTGCATCTTGGAGTTCGAGAAGCTAAAGTGAACAGATTAGGCCAACAGCTGCCTGTGTGTCTGAGGGTATTAAAGAGAACACAAAACACCCTTAACTGAACCTAAAGGCAAACACACACACACTGGCAATCTCTCAACCAGGAAAAAAAAAAACAAGTCAAGAGCCACGCCCTCATGCCGCACAGTGTAACAGTGCTGCTGATGGCTGCTGTGTTTGCTGTTGAATAAGGTCACAACCTCTCAAACAGGGAACATCTATTCATTGAAATGAAACCCTGGACAAATGGCTGTTGTTACTGGAGGAACTGCTGTACAGTGATTTCACAACAGCAGCTCGGGAGTGTTAATACTCTACATGGCCAACGGAGCAGATAACAAGGGATTATAATTTCGACACCAGGAAAAGGAGCATCTCTCTTTCCTCCGCCAAGGAATATAGTCCTCGCTCTGTGAGGTTGCTAAGCGACGCATAAATGCTCACTTAATATTGTTTTATGTGGCGCAGGGATATTTGCACTCCATGGCACTACACCGGTAACAGGTGTGGCTTTTTCGCCTCCCAGCTGCACCAAACCGCCTTAGAAATTGAACAATTTAGCAGTCGTACATGTAATAGTTTCAGAGAGGCGTTATGAGACCAAAACAAGAATCAAAACAGCTTTTTTCTGGATTTCTAGGTGCCACTGATCAATTCGCCCCATAAAGCATCTTACTTTAACACGTTGACAACTTAAAAACGACCTAACCCTGTCTCAAAGCAATTTTGATTCACAGACACGTTGCAAACACCAGAATCTAAAATTGAAACAACTTTATGAATCATTATGAGGCACTTCTGAACTCGGCACAGATGTAACGCAAAACCATAGCTACTCATTTGGGGGGGGGGGGGTCCTGCAAAATCCTACACCTTTTTAAGGCAGCATCACAGGTGAATGACTCACTCAGAACTCGGAGCTGAATCTCTGCGGTCCTGGTGGTACTGTCGTCTGACAGTATGCTGATGCTATAATCCCCGCTGTCCTCCGACTTCAGTGACGTCATGGTCAAGTCGCCGGTGGTCGCGTTAATGGACGCTCTTCCTTCATAAGGCTCTCCCACTTTGGTCCCTTTTGGACCCAAGGTGGCGACATTAATCTGCTCACTCCCGTCGTTGTAATTCCAGGTTATAAAGACATACTGTGGCTTGTCAAGCAGGGTTTTCAAAGTCACATTTCTCCCCACAACTGCGTCCACCGGACCCTCTGGCAGAATGTCCTGCCCCGCACAGCATCCTGAGGGACAGACAGGTGAAGGACAAGTTAGACCTGGGCTGGAGGGAGCTGGACAGATCAAGAACTTTGGGGGAAACAATTTGATAAGAATGATACAGCACTATAAAAGTCATTCAGTAGCCTCAATCCATTTCCTCTTTAAAGAGAAACTTTTCTTTACTCTGTTATAATTATCATTTTATATAATTTCAGCAGTAATTCAAACAGGCTACACCCAGGGAGCCACATTTTCCATGTACAAGCAACAGTAAAAACCCAAAAAACCAAAAAACCAAAAAAAAATAAAATAAAATACAAATAAAAAACATTATATAAATCACAGCTCGGTCTGCAATTAAGTGTGTTTCCTACCGATTAAAGAGAGCAGAAACAGAAAGGTGAGCGTATCCATCCCGGGCGGTTCAAGTCTTCACAGCAGAGGCAGAGTAAGAAATGCGGCAGTAGTACCTGCTGCTTTTAGAGGGACACACCCAGACAAGGTGGACACACACACTCCCCCTATCTGTCTGTCTCTCTCGCGCTCTCTCTCTACGCGCTCTCTCTCTCTCTCTCTCTCTCTCTCTCACACACACACACGCACGCACAACCACACATACACGCACACACACACACACACGCACACTCATCATGAATCATTTGTATTCATGTAGGTCATGGTGGAGTTTATATTTAACACAATCCGTCATTCACAAATTTCAACAAGTGTAAATGTAGGCTACATTACAGGAAATACATTGCAGGAAAAAAAAATACACATCTTAAAATCCCTTGTTTAATTTTGTCCTGTATTTTCTCTGAGAAAAACATCTTCCATAAACACATGGACGTATTATGAGACAATGGGCCCCTGCATGGGAACAGACATATAAAAGACCCCCTGCCCTCTTATAAAGAGCATAAAAGTTATTTTTTATCAAAAACATTCATTATTAATGGGTAAATACAGATTTAAAAGATACTCAAGGGAGTAGTGTATGAAGTTCTGGGTTTTTTGTGGAAATGTTTTTTGAACCCGGAATCCTCTGGTTTGCAGCTGTAGTTCAGTGAGACACTGCTGCCACCTCGTGGACATCTGGGGAAGTCATCTAGCTAATTTGTGAGTTTTAATTCAAGCGTTTGTAGAACATTAAACAATAAAACTCTTCATATGGGAAGAATTCAGACAGGACCTGTACATATAGGCTTCAGTGAATGAATAGGAACTCTGTGGCATTTATATGTGATACTGTCAATCAAATAAATATAGGTCTAAAGATATATGTTTCTATAACCACCAGTCAGCTGACAAAATAGGTAAAAGCTTGATTGATTTGTCTCTTATTAGCTCATTAGCTCATTTTATTTATCACATCATATATTATCAATATTTCCAATTTTCCTGTTTCAGGGGGTCCATAGTGAGGAATGGACTCATAAAGTATAACATAAATAACTTAATTATAACTTAATTATAATCTTTAAAATAACAAAAGATGAGTCTGGGAGAAAAGTTCACATTAGACTAGAGATACTTAGAGATTCACAGATGACAATTGTGGTTATAAAAACAATATAAAACATGTCATTTCAGCTCGTTTCAACCAGTTTATTTAGCAAAAAAAACAAAAAAAAACAAAGTCCCATTAGTGAAAGTCAGCTCATCAACGTTCAGAATTTTGGCACCTGAAGGATCTTCTGTGCTTTTCACTGCTCAGTAAAGATCCGAGGGTGTGTTCAGCACAAGTGGGCCACTTCTGCACAAAGTTTATTTCCTGTAATCATTTTTAACCAGTGTATTTGATACTTGTTAACTGTGCAAATCAATAAAATAAAATAGATATAACGACTAAAATTAATGACAAAAAAATCAGCAATAATACATTATTGTTATATAATTTTATTATCTTAGCTAGATTAAACCTGAGAAAAACCTTAAAGAAAACTTTGCCTGTTTAAATTTTGTTCATACCTAGACACTAGTGTGAGAAAAGAGGGGTGTTGTAAGGGTCTGTGGAAGTGAATAGTAATACTGATTCCAGACAGACAGGAAGGCAGCGTCTACATAAATCTGATAAACGCGACATGAAAGCAGAAAAAAAAAAAAAAAAACATTATCGCTACACATTTTCTTTGTGTTGCTTTTTTAAAGACTTTTATTTTCTTATTTGGAGTTTTGTTTTCTTGTTCTTTTCTTGTTTCTCCAGAAATTACTGCTACTAAAAAACAACTTCACATGTTGGACATTGAACAATTATTGTGTAGATTCTATAATGAGTAAGAAAAATACTTGGATGAAAATACATTTCTAAGACATCAAGCTCACAACTCACCCTCAGCAGCCTGGCAGCATCTATTCTCGTCTGCCGATTGTGTTATAAAACTATAATAAAAAACACACAATATTACACACTATGCAAAATTTAAAAAGTGAAAGTGAACCCGGCTGGGACGCACTGTGTTGTGAGTATTTGCAGTGCGTTTGTGTTTTTGGTTTTGATGTGAATATTTACGGCACTTGTTGTCAAATTGATGAAGATGTTTTCTGATGTTGTTGGTGTTTTGTCTATTTGCATGCGTTTTTTCTTAAGTTGCAGTGCGTTGAGCTCCCACCGTAGGATTGTTTACATTCACCATTGCTTCTTAGCAGCCTTCTTCTTCACGGCCTCTGCAAACGCATTGCTAAGCTTCCTTTTATGTTGCCACCACCAACTGTCAATAGGTGGAAGGGCATGGCACCAGTGGTAGGAAAGTGTATTGTGGTAAATGTGCGTCACCGTGCACATTTTTATACAAACCTCCCCAGGATACCTTACAGAGTCAAATAAGCGGAAAGTGGGGACGTGGTTTCCGACCTGTGACGGATAGCGTGTGAGATAGAGTAGAAACTGATGCGGTCAGAGGGACATCATGTATGTAAGATATCTCTCTCTCTCTCCCTCTCTCTCTCTCTCTCTCTCTCTCTCTCTACAGAGTACATCCTCCAGAGTGATCACAGTCGAACCAACACTTCTCTAAAACCATTTCAACACGAACTGAACACGAGAGCCTTCATGAAGGAGGATTTAGTTTCTGCTGGGTGTTTCTCATAAACTGACAACTGAGTGTTTTTCTTTAATGTAAACTTTTAATCTGCAAAGTAGAGCCATGAATGTTATATGAATGTACTGCATTAGCTTTAACTGTATTTTTATGCTAATACTTGTGTACTTTAACACAAGTAAAATTTGAATGCATGACTCTTCCATCAATGAGTGTACCGTGGGTGTGCAACAGTATTAAGACTTTGTACAGTACATTTACACATGTAAGACAAACAGTAAAGTGAGGGGTGTTTTAGTCTTTTGAATGAGTGCGTGGTTAAATGTGGGAGTGGAGGGACGACAGCTCAAGGTTAGACAGGTAGCAAAATGAAACTTCTAGGCCAACATATGCCTGGGTCCTTGGCCCGCGTCTGGCCCATATACTTCCACATCTGGGCAGACTCCGGCTGTTATTCTCCGGTATTGACTGACATCCGGAAGATTTTCTGTGTGTGCGCCAGAATTGGTCCAGATGTGGAAGTGGCATCTGACAATCATGCTGTATACGGGCGAGATCCGGGCCATGGAACCAAGTGCAGACTGAGCCAAAAGAAAACAAGCATGTGGCCCAGCAACGGGCCAGATTTGGTCATTTATCTTCTATATGATCTTTCTTGTCTTCTTACTCTCTGTTTATAGTAGAACTGGACAAAGTAACGCTTTTTGTCACCACTAAAGACACCGCTATCTTGTTTCAATAAACTTTATTGGAATTATCATTTGACATCTGATGTTCAGCGTGAGCTCCATGTCCTGGCCGTACGATTGATCCGTACAGCGTGTAAAGGCGCAGGAAAATGTGGACTATTACATTACCAAGCAGCTGGTGACTTTCAGTCCAACGCCTAATAATAATAATAATAAAAATAAAAAAAAATAAAAAAACATCTATTGAAACGTGTCCTTCTGTTACCTCGGGCCACTCTGGGTTTGTAGGCGTGTGGGCGCACTGTCATCATCCTCTTTTATACAGAGATCACGCTATATTGCTGTTAAGAAGACCCCTCGTTGTTATCATGTCGCCTTTGCTTGTTTACACTGAACCAAACAAAGCCGCACAAGTGTGTGATTTTAGATCATATGACACTGTTAAGGAATCAGAGGCGTGAGGTGTAACACAGCATCAATCCGGCTCTACCTCCACTGCCGGTATAAAAGGCCCCCCCCATTCTGTGTTCATACTCTTTGATACAGAGCGGCGAGGCAGAATAACGGAGCAGCATTCCCGCCGTTACCGGGTTGTGTAACAGGGGCTATGATGTGACTCTCTAGCCGCTCTCCACCTTCACCTGCTGCCGTCAACAGCACACTTATGGTTTCTGACTTGGGAATGCCAAGTGAACCTTTTGTCACAAGAGCTGCATTTGAATGGTTTCTCCTCGGTGTGGAGCGCCATGTGTGTGGTCAAATTAGCCTTTTTTGAGAATCTTTTACTACAAACTGAGCAGCTAAATGGTTTCTCCCCGGTGTGGACTCTCATGTGATTCACCAACGTGCAACGCAGACTAAAACTGGTGTTGCAGACCGAACAGGTGAACGGCTTCTCTCCCGTATGAACTCTTAAGTGTGTGGTAAGATTTGATTTTTTGGTAAATTTTTTACCACAGAATGGGCACGCAAATGTTTTTTCTCCCGTATGACATTTCATGTGGATCTGCAGATGGTCTTTATCGCCTAATCGTTCACCACATTCAGAGCAGTCAACAGATTTGTTAACTGCATTATATCCCACATGGCTTGCACTGTTTTTCAGAGCATTCAAACCTTTAAGCTGAGGTTTGATACTGTCTTCAGTCTCTGAGAAAATTGGAGTCTCATTATCTGGTTGTAAATGTCTATCTGGCTCTGATCCCCCACCAGCTTCTGTTTGCAAGTGCTCTACCTCTCTGTTCTCCTCAGTTTGGCTTTGATCAAACTGTGAGGACTGAGCTTTCCCTTCATAATCGTCATTTTCACTCTTCACAGGGAGTGAAGAAGAAGAAGAGAGCGAGAACTTGGTGTTAGCCTCCTCCAGTCCTTGAAGCTGCTTTTCCTCCTGATTGGTCCTGAGTTGGTCCTCTTCCTCTTTAATGAGTGGTGGATCTGGGTCCTCCTGGTCCAGACTGGTGCTCCACTGATCCTGCCCAGGGGTAACCTCTTTAATCACTGTGACCTTCTTCACATTTGTAGGGAACACTGGAAAAACACAAAGATATTATGTAAACATGGATATTATTTTGGAGTTTTTATACATAAGAATGCCTCTAAAACCTGCTTGTGAATTGGAAGTGGATCAAAGTTTTTTATACATAGACACACCCTGTCACATGTGTCTCAGTTATGTTATATGATTACTCTAAAGTAGTGTCAACCTGTTGCTCATTTCAAAACCATACCATAGTTTGTTGTAACAATTTACCATTATTATAATGGGAAAAGTACAGTGTCCCTGAAGCTCAATGCACTGCAACTTAAGAAAACAAATGCAAATAGACAAAATACAAGCAGATTCATCTTCATCAACTTGACAACACATGCGCTGGGAATATTCACAACACAACCAAATACACAAATACGCAAGTGTTTCCAGGGGACACTAAAAAGTGATGAACCTGACCACACTTGTTGTTCAGTGCTTTGTGACTGTTGAAGTTAAAAGCATTGAACAACAAGAGCGCATGGACATATTATAATACAGCCATGCAAGGTTCATCACTTTTTAGTGTCCCCAGGAAACACTCCCGTGATCGTCTGTGGTACTTACAGTTTGTTTCTGTATTTGGTTGTGTTGTGAGTATTTTCAGCACGCTTGTGTATTTTGGTGTTCTGAGTATTTGCAGCATGTGTTGTCAAATTGATGTATATGTTTTCTGAATTTGTCTGTGTTTTGTCTATCTGAATGTCTTTTCTTAAGTGTGTTGAGCTCTCAGGGCCGCCATAGAAAAGATTGTTTTAATGTTTTAAATGAGGAGTGAGCTCTGTGATAAAAACAACATAAAGTGTTGTACACTGATAAGAAAAATAGAGTAATATGCTGTCTAGTAGTAATAACAATAAAATGCCATAATGACATGAAAAATATTTCGTTTTCTTTTTTTTTTTTTTTACCTTGGTACTGTAGATAAAACAGGTGGATAAGTATAATACAACTCTGTGACTTACCTCCCGTGTTGTTGTGGGTCTTCACAGCCTCCTGCAGCAGCCTGCGCTGACGGCCGATCTCCTCCTCGTACTCGGCTATCGTCCTCTCAAACAGCCCGAAGATCTCCTCAGCAGCCGCCGTCAGTCTCTGGTTGACTAATGCTCTCAGCATTTGGACCTTAGACATTGTTCACACATTCACACCAACACCAGTTTGATCTCAGTCTGTCTGACAAGCAGCTACGTTGCTAAGTTACGCCCCCCGCCTCCGTTTATCTCAAGCTAGCAAGCTATGCTACTAACAAGCTAAGCTAATCAGGAGGCGTCTCAGAGATGAAACACTGAGGAGAGGTCAAACAGCATCAGACTCCTCAGCTCATCGTTCAATCCAGCTGGGAGTCAGTTCACGGTTTTAACGGGAGAAACGTCCCTCGTGACACTAAGCTTTTTCAGCGCGACATCTTGTTTAAATTGTGAATAATTGGACACTGGAAGGTAAAGTGCTTCCGTGGCCCTTCAAAATAAAACTCCAGCCTGCGCAAATATCAATTATTATGAGACTGACGAGAAAATGTTTTAATTTTGTCACGGTAATATTGAAAATTAATTATTAATTAGTATTAAAAAAACTAATGAGTGAACATGAGCGGCTCCCGGAAGTGATTGTTCAGGTGTTAGTGAATACCTCAGCTGAGATGGTACCATTAAACATCACCAGTATGTGGGTTACCTCACTCCTCTGCCTTGACTCTTGACTGTGTGAACCATGTCCAGGCTCCAGAGTCTGAAGGTCTCCATCCACCAGCGGCTGGCTGCGGCTCTGAACATCTTCGGACTTTTCGATAAAACAATAACCAAGTATGAGGAAGAGATTAAGTGATACCACAGACAACTCCTTAGTATATCCACACATTTTAGTCCAAAAATCAAAACCCCATTTGTATTTCATTTACTTTTCACCTGGACTATTTTATTTTTCTACAAACAAAACTGCATGCCATCAGATGAATTTGAGAGACACACAAAACACATTGTCCATGACCTGACATCTTTCAGTTATTTCAGACATTACCCAGTAGCTGTAACACCCGACGTTGCATCAAAATTGTATCATGAAGTGTGCTAAGGGTCAAAGACGAATAGAATGAATGTCATAACTGACTGCAGGAGCTGCAGCCACTTTTAACTTACTGCTGTGATAAGTTAACACTATCGAATTCGACACCTCTCTTCTTTCAATGAAACCCATGTGCAGATCACAACCAACAATGAACAACGAAATGTGGATTAATTCACCACTGAAAATAGTCCCCAACAAATGCACTGTATCATCCTGTGTGGTCAAAATTACAGTGAGCAGCTGTTTTTAGGAAATTGGAGCCTTTTTCTTTAGAGATTTACGTCTTCAGTAGGAACCGATGGGCTTGGAACTGAGAGACAGACGGGGTAGGGAAGTCAGAAAGATTTTAACACAGACTGATAAAGTGTTGGTCTTGGTTTGCACGTGGGATTTGTTGACAGCAAGAAAAATACAGACCATCAGACTTATCCATAAGCCATTTCATGTACGTACAATCAGTAATCCTAGGAAAACAAATGACTGAGAGGCAGTGTGAGTCATAAATTCCTGTGGACAATTATTTTATCTGAACATATAAATTACTAATTTGTACACATGAATCTTGACAAATGTTACTACCCCTGACACCTGCCAGTCTTCATTGAGATCTTGGGTTTCCTTCTTAGTCTGGAACTATTATGTTGTGTCTACTTTATTGTCTTTGCTGTCGGCAAGAAATTTAAAAAGATTGAAAAAAAAAATTAAATAACGGTATCTGCCAAATGACCAGCATTAAATCTTTTCCCATGGACAGGTGTCGCCTTTGCTATAGACTGCTGCCGCTCTCAACGACACACTTGTGCTTTTTGACACGCGACTGTCTGGTGAATCGCTTCTCGCAAACGCTGCAGCTGAATGGTTTCTCCCCGGTGTGGACCGTCATGTGGCACGTCAGGTTTCCCTTCTGCGTGAACCTCTTGCCGCAGACCGAGCAGGTGAATGGTTTCTCTCCTGTGTGAAGCCGCAAGTGGTGCACCAAAGGTCCGCTCTGCGTGAATCTTTTCCCGCAGATCGTGCAACCGAACGGTTTCTCTCCCGTGTGGCATCGGACGTGTCTCTGCAGAGTCCCCTTGTGGCCGAATCTTTTACCGCACTCGGAGCAGCTGTACGATTTCGCTCCGGTGTTACACTCCCTATCATCTGTAGGAACTACGTTACAGTGTAGAGTATTGAAATGTGCCTGGGGGTCTCTGGTCTCCATCCAATAATAATTCCTTTCTTCTATGTCTTGAGAGGTCTTGACATAATTATCTTTTCGTAAAAGTCTATCTGGAACCGAGTTTCCTGCTGGTTCTGATCCCCTACAGGCATCTCCTTGAATTTCCGGTCTCAAACGCTCCCCCTCTCTGTTCCTCTCAGGCTGGCTTTGATGAAGCTGCGAAGACTGAGCTTTCTCTTCATCATCATCATCATCATCTTCACTCTTCACAGGGACAGGAGTGAATGTGAACTTGGTGATATCAGCCTCCTCCAGTCCTTGAAGCTGCTCTCCCTCCTGACTGGTCCAGAGTTCCTCCTGTTCCTCTTTGATGTGTGGGGGCTCTGGGTCCTCCTGGTCCTCCTGGTCCAGACTGGAGCTCCACTCCTGCTGCTTCTGCTGCTGCTCAGAGGAAACCTCTGCTTGACTCACCAACAGCTGCTGGACCTCTGCATGACATCCTGAGATACAGACAAACACAAAATTTACGTTGACCCAACATTAAATATTATAATTTATGTTACTGAGAACAGTGATGAACTTGAGGATATTTCATTCATTCAAGAAAATGATTTGAAACCTACATATCTCTTAATATTTGGCGTTATGGAGCACGTTCTTGGAGGTTCTCTATCAATAATTTTGACCCTTTAATTCCCTGTTAATGATAAAAAAAAAAAACATGACTTCTTCTCTTATATTTCTGTTTTCATTTTATCTTAACAGACAGTTGCCATGATACTGGAGGGAGGGAGGAGCGACAGATCTTTCATTTTATTTCCCACAATAATTGTTTCCAGTCTTTTATTTACTTTGTTAGCATGAGGGACAATGAGAAGGTCTCTCTTCTCTCATCTGAAGGTGTTTCTGTTATTTACCTGTCCTCACTGATATAAATAGAGTAAACAACACAATAGAAACACCTGTCAACATAAAACACAAAACAATACAGCCACACAACTGCAGCCTCCAACATGATCACAGAGATGAATCATCACCGCTCTAAAACTGTTTCCACCATTGCTTTTAGCTAGGTGACCCTGACTAATTCCTGGACACTGTACACGATTGATTGATTGATTTGTTTAGTTGTTAAGTTTATACATACTTATTTCTAGACTCTCACTTGTTGTCTTCAATTATTTATTTTTATCATTTGTTAGTAGGCTCAGTTTTCAGTTGCAGTTTGATTCGGTTTAGGCACCAAAACTACCTGGTTAAGTTTAGGGAAAGATCATGGTTTGGGTTGATGATTATTTGGATTATAATGCTGCTCTCTCCCTCTTTCTCCCTCAACCAAGCCCGTCAAGGCAGATGGCCGCCCTCCATGAGCCTTGCTCTGTACAAGGAGTTGTTTCTTGCCACTGTCACGAAGTGCTGCTGATGGTGGGAATGTTGTGTGTCTGTAAATAATATTATAAAGAACACAGTCTACACCTGCTCTGTGTGATTCAGCTCTTTATACATAAAACTGACTTGACTTCTTCTTTAGAGAGCCCTTCTGCCAGAGCTTCTCCCACTTTGAGGCGGACAGCCTAAAACACCTGGGTGCTGGTCTCTGCAGTGCAATTTGCACCCAGGTGTAAACAGCCAATGTGGCTCCTTACACCTGGGTGCAGCATTTTTTTTTTTTTTTTGTCTAACACCACCTGGGTGGAATCTGCCTTTAGTTAACCCATCAGGTTTGGTGGTACACCACACACATGCTCACTTATTACTGACATGACCACTGCAACATTATTAGATTATTCCGGTTTATTTCAACTTGCTGTATTTCCCGTGCAGGGTGCAGGGTGCAGGGTGCAGGGTTAGGTCAGCCGGCCAGCTGCCCCGGATGTAGATCAACATGCTGTCTGTTAGAGTCGGCAATGATCCGTGTTTACCTCAGTCAGACTCAAGAGACAAGAGTTTGAAACGATTCATGTAAAAGTCACGGTGATTTGGAAAACTCATCGTCTCCTTGAATCTCAACAACGGAGTCGGCGACAACAACCCAGAGAGCGACAGCAGCCACGTTTGTGGCAAAATACACCAGGCTGGAATAAAGCGGGAATTATCCTTTCACTAAAAAAACACAAACAAACACGTTTCCAGTAGTGTAGAGCAAACGCACCTTTTTTCTGCGCTGTGATCTCAGGTTTGAAAGCCACATCCAGCAGCTTCTGGTGGCGGTTCATCTCCTCCTCATACTCGATCAATGTTTGGTCTAAAAGTCCGAAGATCTCCTCCACAGCGGCGGTCAGCCGCTGGTGGATGGAGACCTTCAGACTCTGGAGTCTGGACATGGTTCACAGAGTCACGGCGGAGGAGGGAGGTCAGCTCTATGATGACGGCGTGTCTGTCGTTAGATCCAGCCGCTGCCACTGCCAAGTTCACTTTAATGTGAACAATCACTTCCGGGGAGAGTTTACAAAATAAAAGTCATCAATGGTCCTTCCGTTGTACTGGTACCGCTTTAACTCCCGTATTTATTATTAATTTTACACACACACACACACACACACACACACACACACACGTATATACAGTATATATATATATAATTGAAGTGAGTTGTGTAATATTATATTGCCATTCATTCTGTCTATATACTGGCATCCAGTTATGGATACTTAAAAGATTTAACAGCCATAATAGTGTTCTTATTTATTTAACTAATGATGATGTATGCTTATAAAAATGTGCGTTTAATAATAATAATGAAATGAAACTAATGAAACATTATGTTAAAACAATTGCCATCAGTATGTGATTTTGGGTATCTATTTTCGATAAATCCCTACAGGAGATGGGCAGGTTTTGATGGCGGTATAATATACAATTCTACTAAATCAAATAAAAGTAATAAAGAAACTTAAAAATCCGACATTAATGGGTTAATCCCTCTTTGCATAAACCTCGAGGTCTCTCAGTGAATTTAAACGTACTGTACTTACTGAATTTACCACTAGATGGCAGCACATTAACACAGATCAAACCAGTAGTTTGGTCCAGTGGGTTCATTACTAAAGTCTCCCTCCTACAGTACATGGATAACTGAGAAACTATTTTGAAGATGGCTTGTTAACCTTGAGTTTATAGCAACAGAAATAGAATAAATTTGGCATTAGACTATATTTTTCTTCTTTTCATTTCTTCTTTTCGCCTCTCAACACTCCCTGACTTCCCTTCCCTGTGGCTCTCAGTCTGAGCCCCCTGGCTAAATACTAAAAATTAAAAATGTACATGATTTCATCTTTAAAATGGGTCAGTGAGCATATTTATTGTAAATTGAGAGAGTTCTGATTTGAAAATACACATCTTTTATGCAGTAAAATCATTTAGTCCCTATCAATGACTTTCTCATTTATAAACAACAAATTTATGCAGCGCGTCATCAAAGTCTCTCATCAGCTGTTTGTTAAATCCTGCTAATTCAACGTTAATAAGTTTGTAAATGTACTAACGTGGTGATTACACTTGTGCCAGAAAATATTTCAGTCATAATACACAGAGGTCTGTAGAAGATGCAGATTCATGGTCAGCGATGGGAAACAAAGTGTAGAGCAGGAACAAGGGTCCAATTACACAGGTTTCTGTTTATGGTAATCTAATCATGTTATTTACAGTATTATGAAGGATACATAAAGCAGGTATGTTGGGGTTGGGGTTTAAAATACTGAATGACAGCTACAAGATATTCATATATTGGCTTATGATAATATTAGTGTTAAAAATAATTTGTTAACTGACATTAAACACATGTGCAACAAGTTTAAAACTGTTCATGAATGTATTTAAAATGGCTGGACAATAAGGATTATATATAATTACAGCTGTCACTATATTAACTGATTATGCACCAGATTTGAATCATTCATAAAGGAGTGATAGTTGTTAAACAACACATACACACTACGTACAACATGTCCTCAGATCTCCTCACTGCTACATCACTGTATAGTGTATAGTGTGGTATATGTTATTGGGTGTTTAGGTGCTTCTTATGAACGCTAAATGAGGGGATACCATACCATAGACTTCAATAGTGCTGTTTGCTTCTAGTGATGCTGACGTGTTCAGTATTTTAGGACAATAAAGCCACTTTGATCACGTGAAGTTATTTTCAGTGTATTTCATCATAAAAGAGATCCATGTCTGCTTTCTCGCTGCTGATGTCTTAAACGTAACAGCCAATCCTTGATATCCAGATTGACTCATCTCATATATTTATCAGGTCACAGGCACATTGAAGTCGCTTATTCATGATGTCACAATGAACTGATAGGATAAAATGATCCTCTGTCAGATATTCAGGAACTCATTTCATACTATCAATATAAGTTCTGGTGTTCTCCAAGGCTCTGTCCTGTGTCCTCTGTTGTTCAGACTTTAAATGCTGCTGTTGATTAATAGTAGTTAATGTGTATTTGACTTTTTACATGTATGCAGAAGATACATAACTATGTTTTGACATTGCATTTGAATGTCAAACAGATAGAATAGATTTTGTTGTGATGTTAATGTTCTGAATGGGCTTCTTCACTGGAAGTGTTCACTTCATTTGAGGAAACTTTCAAGTTGTTGATGTGGGAGGTGAACTGTTTGATGTTCAGGAGGAAAACCGCTGGAGAAACTATGAACATCAACAACGATGTGTGTGTGTGTGTGTGTGGGTGTGTGCGTGTGTGTGTGTGTGTCCTCAGTGAACTGTATCAGTCTCTGCTGTAGCCTCGAGCTGCAACAGATGGTTCAGTTTCTGTTCATTTTGACTGAGGGAGGTTTTTGTATGATGCTTTTTCACTGTGTGAACACAGCTTTGCTGTTCAACCACTGATGACTGTGACAGTAGTAAACTCCTGAATCTTCAGCCTGGACTCCACTGATGATCAGAGTGAAGTCAACTCCATTCCCTGCTCCACTTCCACTGAATCTGGAGGAGATTCCTGAAAATCTGTCTGATGTTAGGTACATCAGATGTTTAGGAGCTTCTCCAGGTTTCTGATGGTACCAGGACAGGGAAGTATTGTGAACCAGAGTAATGAACTAATTTTAGACTGGCCTTACAGTCAACAGAGACAGTTTGACCAAGCTGCACTGATTTGGCTGCTGACTGAGTCAAGGCAAGATTTTGTCCAACAGACCCTGAGGAGAGAGAAGAAACACTGGACATGAGATGGTGAGGTGAAACTCAGCTACACTCCAAATGATTTTCACATGACAGAAAAATGATGTTCCTCACCCTGAGTGAAGCAGAGGAGAGTCCAGATGAGGACGGAGACCAAAGTCATGTTTCTGATGAGGAGGATTTCTGTGTCTTCTGTTGTCATGAAGGACAGCTGTCAGTCATCCAGTCTTCAACTCTCAGGACTATAAACTCTCCCAGAGCACTGGAGCATGGTGCTGCTGATGCAAAGTGGCTCTCTATGGAAATGCTCTGACTGACTCCAACAGGGACTTGGATCACTCTGATCATGCTGTTTCTCAATGGATCAATCAATTGATCAGAGTATTGATTAGAAATATATCACTGATCATCTTTATGTGAATTTCAATTAATGACTGCAAATAAATTTCTTGTAAAACCTCCTTTCATCTGTTTTCATTTGATGCTAGAAGGATCAACTTTAGTTTGAGAAACATTAAAAATATATATATTTAAGAAAGGGAATTATTTTGAAAAATATTTTCAATTATTAGATTTAAATTTTTTGAAAAACAGGAAGTGATTTATTTGAGTTTGTTGGTAGACACACCAATCAGGTTTAAGCACTATAAAAATGCAGCATGTGACTTCACCTGTCTTCAACCAAAATGGAAGGAGTCAGAAGAAGAAGAGTGAGGGTGAGAGGGGGAATCCACGGCGGAGGAGAAGGAGGTAGAGGAAGAGGAAGAGGCGGAGGCCGTGCCAGAGGTAGAGGCAGAGGTGGAGGTAGAGGAAGAGGAGGACCTGAAGCAGGAAGAGAACGCACTCAAAGAAGAAGAAAAAATCTATTAAATGAAATTCGTGCAACAGTAGTTGACCATGTTGTGAACCACGGATTGACGCTGAGGGCGGCTGGACTAAGAGTTAACCCAAATCTTAGCAGATACACAGTGGCATCTGTCATTAGGACATTTCGACAAGAAAATAGAGTTAAAAAAAAATCTGTCTACAGTTACAGTAATCAGCTGCTTATTGTACACACCATATCAGCACTTTTGATACCACTTCCTGTGACATTTTACAGTAGGTTACATGTATTTTTTTCTACATAGGACTGAGGGTCGAGAACGACAAGGAAGAAGGACGCCCATATTCACACAAGAACAAGAGAGAGAGAGATCATAAACATGGTTCTGGCCAATAATGCTATCAGGCTCAGAGAAATTCAAGTCAACATTATCAGTGACCATGCCATTTTCAATAATGTCCATCGGGTCTCTCTGTCAACACTGGCACGCATCCTGAAAAGACATCATGTTCAAATGAAACAACTTTATCGAGTGCCTTTTGAGCGGATGCAATATATTATCATCATGGTACAATGTGTCATTCCACCGATCTGCTCTGGTCCAGAACTGGTTTCAACACCATCCACAGTTTACATTACTATACCTTCCACCATACTCTCCGTTTCCAAACCCAGTGGAAGAGTTTTTGTCGGCATGGCGGTGGAAGGTTGACGATCTCCGGCCCCAGGCTCGGATACCCCTCATTCAGGCCATGGAGGAGGCCTGTGACCAATTTGACACCGCAGCTGTGCAAGGATGGATTCGACATTCAAGACGGTTCTTCCCACGTTGTCTTGCTAATGAGGATATCGCCTGTGATGTTGATAAAATTCTCTGGCCAGATCCAGCTAGGCGAAGAGATAATGTCTGGTATTTTTTGTACTGTATTTTCAGGTTTTTTCAGATTCTTTTTTTTTTTTTTTTACTGTAATTGTAACCTGTGCTGGACACAGTATTTTATGTTTGTCTGATGTTTGCTGATCTTACAGTGTTATGCACACTACTGTAGTAGCATGAAAACTTAGACATGTTTTGTTGTGATTCTCCATGTTGACATGTTGACTGATTTGGCTTCATGGAGAGAAGTAAATGATAGTTTCATCAGTCTGCAACATTGGTCTTGTGTAATGTTTGGTGAATTTATTCTATATTTGCACTTTCTCAGTGACTGTAAGTGAAATACACAGAGAAGTATAATTGCTAAAAGTGTTTCAGGCTAAGCAGAGCAGTGTGTAACTGGTTCAAACAGAATTAAGTCATATGAAACATGCGTGTTTCATATAGTAAAAAAATATATTTTTTATAAATGAGT